AGACTTTGCTCACTTGGAGGATTAACCAGTGGCTTCTGAGACCTGAACTCGAGGATCCCAATGCCAGCAGAGAGGCCTCAGGATATTCCTATTTTGCATCTGAGCCCATTACAGAGATTGCTGGGCTTTTCTACCTAGTGTATGTTTAAAACAGTTTCTAAGAACAAAAAATTGACTATTTACTCTCCACAGGGACACATTGATAACTTTGTTTTGCTTCTTGCATCAGGTGCTTAAAAGAATCAGAGCTAAAGTTCTTTTAGTCTCTAAAACAGAGAGAAGGATGCTTGTTTCGATAATTATATTTGGAAGATTCCATAATAGTCTCAGAAATTCATCTAACTTTCTTTTCTCCTTTTAGCTCTGATATAAGTAGAAACAATTGCAGTATTTTATTTCTATTCTGGAAGTTCTGAAGTTGCATGCAGGCCAAGGAATTATAGTCCTGCCCTAATGTGACTCACACTGGCTTGTTCTGAAGAGAAACAGGCCCTTAAAATCCTGTTGGTCACAAGTATAACCCATGTAGTGGCTCAAATGAAAAACCTGAAATGAACAGGCTACACAGTTAGACAGTCTCAGATCGTGGTTTGAAGATTCTCTGTGAATTTGATTTGCTACACTTAACTAAATAGGGAAAATATCTATTTGCATTTAAAGATAAACAGAAAAAAATAACAAACTAGTGAAGTAATTTTATATAATATGTCTATAATCATTAAGAAGAATCGTAGAAACTTATTTCCAAAATATTTCAAGCTGATTCACAAGATAGGGTTTCTTGTTTTTTTTTTTTTATTAAGTAAATCTTTATTGTTCAGATTATTACATTGGTTCCTCTTTTTTCCCACCATAACTCCCCTCCACCCAGTTCCCACCCCTCCCTCCGCCCTTACTCCCCACCCACTGTCCTCATCCATAGGTGCACGATATTGTCCAATCTCTTCCTGCACCCCCCACACCCCCCCCAAGAATAGTCAGTCCATTCCCTTTCTATGTCCCTGATTCTATTACAATCACCAGTTCATACTGTTCATCAGATTATTTATTCACTTGATTTTTAGATTCACTTGTTGATAGATGTGTATTTGTTGTTCATAATTTGTATCTTTACCTTTTTCTTCTTCTACCTCTTCTTAAAGGATACCTTTCAGCATTTCATATAATACTGGATTGGTGGTGATGAACTCCTTTAGCTTCTTCTTATCTGTGAAGCTCTTTATCTGACCTTCACTTCTGAATGATAGCTTTGCTGGATAAAGTAGTCTTTGTTGTAGGTTCTTGGTATTCATCACTTTGAATATTTCTTGCCACTCCCTTCTGGCCTGCAAAGTTTCTATTGAGAAATCAGCTGACAGTCGTGTGGGTACTCCCTTGTAAGTAACTGACTTTCTTTCTCTTGCTGCTTTTAGGATACTCTCTTTGTCTTTTGCTCTTGGCATTTTAATTATGATGTGTCTTGGTGTGGTCCTCTTTGGATTCCTTTTGTTTGGGGTTCTCTGAGCTCCCTGGACTTGTAAGTCTATTTCTTTCACCAGGTAGGGGAAGTTTTCTGTCATTATTTCTTCAGATAGGTTTTCAATATCTTGCTCTCTCTCTTCTTCTGGCACCCCTATAATTCGGATGTTGGTAAGCTTGAAGCTGTCCCAGAGGCTGCTTACACTATCTTCGTATTTTTGGATTCTTTTTTCAGTTTGCTTTTCCGGTTGGGTGTTTTTTCTTCTTTGTATTTAAAATCTTTGACTTAATTCTTGCGATCCTCTGGTCTGCTGTTGGGAGTCTGTATAATATTCTTTATTTCAGTCAGTGTATGCTTAATTTCTAGTTGTTCCTCTATCACACCATCGAGGGTCTCACTAGATTTCTTGAGGATCTCACTACATTTATCGGCGGTCTCACCAGTCTTTTCGAGGGTCTTACTAAATTTATCGGCAGCTTCTAGACAGTTCTTGAGAGACCTTAAAAGTGTGGTTTTGAACTCTATATCCAGCAGTTTGCTTTCCTCCAATTCTGTCATTTGTGTCCTGTTTCTTTGTCTCGGCATTTTTTATGCTTTGCTGTGTCGATAGAGTGCCTTTCTGTGCTAAGTGTCCCAATTACCTGAGGTAGACACTCTTGGTGCACCCCCTTGTGGGCTTTGTGCACAGTCTTGTTGTAGTTAAGCCTTGATTGTTGTAGTTATCATTGGGAGGAATTGACCTCCAGGCCAATTGGCTGAGAGAATCAGCTGTGTCTGCAGTGGGAGAACTTCTGTCTGGAGACACCCCTCTGGGGCAAGACTTGCTTCAATGGGGCTTTGGTGCTCACTGAGTCTGCCCCCTGAGTGTGTCCTTTATGGTTCCACGGAGCTTCAAACTAGATGGTCCCACTCTGACCTCTGGGCTTCCTGGCTCCTGGATCTCTAGGGAGGTGCTAATCTAGCCTTTGCCTGAGGCTATCCAGCAAAAGCCTCCCTGCAAGGCTTGGGCGGGGCGGGTCCCATGGGATCAACAGGGCGGGGCTAGCAGTTATGGCTGCTCTCAGTCTTGCCCTCAGAGGCTCTGCTTCTCCTTGTCCCGGTAATCGCTGCAAGCTCTTCGGAGAGAAAGCTGCCCTCGGGTTTCGACCAATGCCATACAGTCCCGCTTCTCCCGTATGAGTCTGGGTCCATAGAGACTCACACGAAACTGGAGCTCAGAGCCTGAGACTCCTCCCGATTGAAAATGACAACCGTGCCCTCAGCCGCCAGCCCGCTCCGCATGCACCTCCGCACCTTAGTATTTTACTTCAGCACTGCGCCTCCTCTGAGTCTCGGTATGCTTTTCTCTTTTCTTCTAGTTGTAGAATTTCCACTCAGCCAGACTTCCTGTGGTTCTGGATGATGTCCGTTCCCTCTTTTAGTTGTATTTTTGAAGTGGTTGTTCGAGGCAGCAAACTCCAGTGTTTACCTATGCCGCCATCTTGGTTTTCAGCCTCTTGTTTCGCTGGTAGAGTTTCTGATGAGAAATCAGCTGACAGCCTATGGGAGCTCCTTTGTAGATAACAAATTGCTTTTCTCTTGCTGCCTTTAAGATTCTCTCTTTTTTTGTTTACTAATTGACATTTTAATTATGATGTGTCTGGGTGTTGGGCTCTTTAGGTTCTTCTTGCTTGGGACTTTCTCTGCCTCCAAATTGTGTGAATTTTTCCTTCACCAGGTGAGGGAAATATTCTGCTATTATTTGTTCAAACATGTTTTCTGTCTCTTGCTCACTTTCTTTCTCTTCTGGTACACTTATTATGTGAATATTTTTCCATTACATGTTGTCCCACAGCTCAGCTGTCTTCTTGTTTTTTAATTGTTTTTTTCTTTTTGTTCTCTGTGTGATTTTTTTCTGTCCTGTCTTCTAATTCACTAACCCAATCCTCAGCTTGTCCTAATCTGTTGTGTATTCCTTCCAATGTGTTCTTTATTAGTACTAGGTCATTCTTTATTTCCAACTATTCTTTTTCCATAGTTACTATATCTTTTCTCATGCTGTTGAGCATCTTTACCATCATTATTCTGAATTCTATATCAGATAAATTTCTTGTCTACATTTCATTTATCTCTTCTTCTGGAAAATTCTCTTGTTCTTTTATGTGGTGTTTGTTTTTTGTCTTCTCATTATTGCTACCTGTTTGAGTTTATGACTATGTATTAGGTAGATTTGATATGATTCCTAATCTCTAGTGAAGGACAGTGTCAAATGCTGTTTCTGACTAATTAGATCAGGCAAAGACTCAAAGCTTCCAGAGACCCATCTCTGCCTGAGTCTGACTGGATTCAATCTTGAGTAGTCCTTAGGCAATCATACACAGGTGTGGTGAGAGGTTAACCAACTGGGCAATTGGAGCAATTGCTTCTTCCTATAGATTATTATTCTCTGTCTCTTTTAAGAAATGTATTTTTGTTGATTTCAGAGAGTTAGAGTTAGAGAGAGAGAGAGAGAAACATCAGTGATGAGAGAGAATCATTGATCAGCTGCCTCCTGCATGCCCCCTACTGGGGATTGAGTCCAAAACCCAGGCATGTGCCCTTGACCAGAATTGAACCTGGAACCCTTCAATCCATAGGCCAATGCTCTATCCACTCAGCAAAACTGGCTAAGGCTATTCTCAGTCTCTTAATGGGCCTCAGAAACTCCACACATTGGGGCAAAAGAGTTTTCAATAGGGTGGGTCAACTGTCTTCCCCCTAGTCATAAACGGCCTGGATAGCAAAGGTCTGCCTGAGAAAGATGACCTCCACAGGGTTGAGCGAATGACTCAGCACAGCCCCTGGGGTGACTGCCTTCTGAGCTAATCCAGAGCCCCCAAATCTAGCTTCTGCTCACAGAGCTCCAATCATCTCTGCTCTCTCTCTGCTAGAGCCCAACATGAGTGGCTGCACATTAAATTTTGTGCATTGGCCCCTTAAGAGGGTGCCTGCATTTCCAGCCATTTCTGGCTGGCTGACAGCAACCCTGCTGCTTTTCACAGCCAGATGTTCTGTGGGCACGTTTTTTAGTCTGGTGCTCTCTTCTGGGGGCCCAGCCTGGGGATTAGACCCCAGAGTTCTTAGTGGGAACCCCCCACAGCTAAGATATATCACCAGAACTTCATCTGCTGTCTCTTAGAGCCCGTCCAGCCCTTCCACATCTCCACCCTTCCTACCCTTCTCTCTGAGGTCTCCATTTTCCATGCTTGGTTATCAGGGTTCTCTCCAGCTAGTCTTCAGTTGATTTCTCAGGATGGGTTTTTTGTATTTTAGTTGCAATTCCAGTTTGGTCCTGGAAGTGGGTCTGTGTAGCATCCACTTACTCTGCTACCATTTTTAATCTCTTCTATTCCAACGGTCTTAATATTGGGCAGGTCTTGTTCCCAACATTATTTTTCTTCAAAAATTTTTGGCGGTTACTTTGGTCTGAATTTAAACTTTCAAATCTTTATTTGTTATTTTTTAAGAGACATAAGTTGAGAGAAGTTAAAAACTTGTCCAGGGTCTTTTTTCTAGAGTGAGCACAAAACTTTCTGACACCTAACCCATGGTCCTTTATGTTAAGTAACTCTTGAAATTCCTTGTCACATCCCACCCTCTTGTCAGACTGTACCTGGTTGCAGACTGGCTTATACTTGAGTCTTGGTTTGTTCAGTATTAGCTCCAGCTGTCTGCGGTTAAAATTGGATACACCAAGAGATTTCACCAAGCCAGCATCTTTGCAAGCTTCCAAAGCCTGTGTAGAGTAAATGCCATTGAATTTAGAAAGAAGCCTCAAAACAAGCAAGAATGAATGTTTAGAAGGTTAGTATAAATTCTTTAAAAAGGAAAGTCCCTGGGTATGTTAATAGTCAATCTGTGAAGAAACAAATGTGGGGTGGACACAAGTAGGAATTATTTGATTGTGGTATATTGTATACCATATCTTTCCCTTGTAATATATATAATAATCTTATTTCTTTTTTGTTTGTTAGTTTGTTTATAATGATCTTAGTTCTTTAAATTTGTTGAGGCTTTCTTTATGGTATGGTACCTAATCAATTTTAATAATTGTCTTAGATGTGTAGGAAATGTATATTCTGCTGGTTTTTGATGCAAATTTCTCTTCTCTCTCTGTCTCTCACTCTCTCTCATACATATATGAGCTTTTTATGGCTTCTCAATAATTTATAGGATTATGACAGTTATCTCCCACTATAATAGTGAATTTATCAATGTTTTCATCTATTCTATTTAAAAATTAAAAAAATATATATTTTTATTGATTTCAGAGAGAGGAAGAGGGAGAAAGAAACACCAAAGATGAGAGAGAATCATTGATTAGCTGCCTCCAGAATCCCCCATTCCCCCCACTGGAGATCTAACTGGCCATCTGGTATTGGCCCTGAGTGGAATCAAACCTTGACCTCTTGGTTCATGCTCAACCACTGAGCTTCGCCCATTGGGCTCTACTTTAGAATGTTTTCATATAATTTTTGTTTCATATACTTGCAGATATTTTATTGTGTACATATTTCAGCTGGTATGGCTCAGTAGTTGAGTACTGATCTATGAACCAGGAGATGACTGTTCGATTCCTAGTCAGTGCACATTCCAGATTGTGGCCTGGTCCCTTTGGGGTCATGCAGGAGGGAGCTCATGGATGATTCTGTCTCATCATTGATGTCTCTATCTCTTCCTCTCTTTTCCTCTCTCTGAAATCAATAAAAAAATAAATAAAAATAAACATGTCCTCAGGTGAGGATTAAAGAATAAAATAAAAAACTATGTTGTCAGATCCTATATAATAAAAGGCTAATCTGCAAATTGTCCCCTCGGGAGTTTGACCGACCAGGAGTTGGACCACTCGATATGTGTGCTGACCACCAGAGGGCAGCGTGGAAAGAAGGAAGGCCCAGCTGGCAGCCAGAAGGCTCTGATTGGCTTTGATCACTGGCCAGACATAAGGACCCTACCTGTGGATGAATTTTGTGCATGGGGCCTCTAGTATTAATATAACTATACATCTTTTTCTAAGTATTAGACTGATAAGATTCCCCGCGCGCCCCCCCCTTTAAATTTTAATATAAAATTAGGCCTAACCTAATTTTTCACATGTCTTTATGTTTAGATGTGCCTAATTCTAATCTGTCAATCTTTGCCTTTTAGTATGTGAATTTAGTTCATATTTATTGTAACTATAAATATATTTGGATTGTTTCTACCATCTTAATTTCCTACTTCAGTTTTTTCCACTTTTATGTTTCTTTTTAATACTTCCTTTTAAAAAGTTTATACCTATATCTTTCCTTTAATGAAGATAAGAACTTATATTCTCACAAATTCCGTGATTTACATACACCCCAACATCTATGATATTAGAATTTCATTTCCTATTATTATAGGTATATTTTTCTCTTGTTATTTAGTATTATATAGTTTTATAGATAATAAAAACTATATCATATTTGATTTGATTACTTTCAGTTTATACACTTCTTGAAGCATCTTTTAGAATTTTGCTCCTCTTATTTAGTAATAGTTTTCAGTGTTGTTCTTTATGTGGCAAAACTTCTGAGCAATGTGTGGATCAGAAAATATATTCATCATGTATCATTTTTGTCTTATAGTTTGAATATCAAGTTCAAGTTCAATGTTCTTTATTATTTAATACTTTGAAAATACTATTCTATTATCTCTTTTGCTGCTGATAATATAACAGAACTGATCAAAACAAAACTGATACCAATCCTATATAATATAGAGGTAATATGTTGCCCTAACCGGTTTGGCTCAGTGGATAGAGCGTCGGCCTGTGGGCTAAAGAGTCCCAGTTTCGATTCCAGTCAGGGGCATGTACTTTGGTTGAGGGCACATCCCCAGTAGGGGGTATGCAGGATGCAGCTGATCAGTGTTTCTCTCTCATCAATGTTACTAACTCTCTATCCCTCTCCTTTCCTCTCAGTAGAAAATCAATAAAATATATATTTTTTAAAAAGAGGTAATATGCAAATTAGCCCTCGTGCCCTCACAAGATGGCTGCCTACGAGCAGGCTGGCGGGGGGTTAGTGAGGGACGATCAAACGCCTGAACAAGCAGGCTGCATGGGGTGACAAGGCCGGCAGGGGAGGTAGTTGGGAGCAATCAAGCTGGTGGAGGGGGAAGTTAGGGGCGATCAGGTTGACACGCAGAGGCAGTGAGGGTGATCAGGCCAGCAAGGGGGGGCAATTAGGGGTGACCAGGGAGGCAGGCAGGTGAGTGATTAGGAGCCAGCGGTCCTGGATTGTGAGAGGGATGTCTACCTGCCATTTAAGCCCGATCCCCTAACCCGGCAGTTGGACTTTCCCTGAGGGGTCCCAGATTGGAGAGGGTGCAGGCTGGGCTGAGGGATTCCCTCCATGCAGGAATTTTGTGCACCGGGCCTCTAGTCTCATTATCTACTAGTATGAATGACTCTTTTATTGCCTTTCCCTTTTCAGTTTTGTTAGTTTATGCTTCATGTATTTTTGGAGTTTTGTTATTAGGTGCATAGATGTTTAGGATTTATTACCTTTTTATTATAAAACAAAGTTCTTTATCCCTGGGAATAAAGGGGCTCTGGAATCTTTGTTGATATTAAAATAGCTACTCCAGCTTTCTTTTTATTACTGTTAGCATAGTATATATTTTCCTGTCCTATAATTTTTTAAACCTTTGACTTTAAACATGTTTGTATAAACGTTTTTATTTAAAATGGGTTTCTTGTATATAACATATGGTGGGGTTTTGGTTTTTGTCCATTCTGACGTCTGCCTTTTAACTGCATTGTTTTAAAAAATATATGTACTGTGATTATTGATATCACTGAGTTTAAATCTTTCATCTTGGTATTTGTTTTTTTTATTTCCTCATCTATTTATATACCTTCTGTTTTTCTTTTCCTGCCTTGTCTTGGATTATCTTTTATTATTTCATTTTGTCCCCTTTACTGACTTGTTTGCTGTACTCTGGAAGCATTAACATTTTCCTTATATTTGATATTCTTAAATTTCTCTATATTTCGTCTAGGTGTGGGTTTCCTTCTCTTCCCTCTTTGGTAATCTATGCTCATTCAATATCTCTGGGTTTTTTCCCTTTAACTATGACCTCTTTTTTTTTTTAAATATATTTTATTGATTTTTTACAGAGAGGAAGGGAGAGAGATAGAGAGTTAGAAACATTGATGAGAGTGAAACATCAACCAGCAGCCTCCTGCACATCTCCTACTGGGGATGTGCCCGCACCCCAGGTACATGCCCTTAATCGGAATCGAACCTGGGACCCTTCAGTCCGCAGGCTGACGCTCTATCCACTGAGCCAAACCGGTTTCGGCATAACTATGACCTCTTTACCTTCTTCTTTCTTTCTTGTTTTTCTATTATGTGAGTACTGAAAATCTAAGTACTGTACATCTCTTAGGTTTTCTTTCATATTTGTTTTGTTGTCTTTTCCTACTTCATATTGGGAGATTTTCTCATTCTGATCTTTCAGTTTGATCCCTTTTTCTTTATATCCATTTTATAGTTATCCCATCTATTGCATTGTGTTTTATTTTTCCTAATTATTACTTAATACTTGTTTTTAAAAATGTTTTCTTATTTCACATTGCTAATATATTTTCTTATCACCTTTAATATATTAATTGGCTAATTCAAAAGTCCTTGGTTCTCTGTTCTGTTTATGTTGGGATCTGTAATTGAGATATGTTGTTTCCTTTTGAAATAAATACCTTATTATTTTGAGCAATGAGCTTATTTTCTCCTGGGGATACTGGCTAACCTGTCAGGCAGACCCTTAGAGGGAAACACCAGACTCCAAATTACTCAGCTCCGATGACATCAGGAGTGAGTATATTGTCTCTTGGGTAGAGAGCCCCAAGCACCAGAAAACTAGTAGCTGCCTCTTCACCCCTCAAAACAACTCCACCCTTCAGGTCTTCAACTGTTACCTAGAGGGGGACACCCATTAGAAAGCAATGCTGTACTCATTAGAGTGTATTCCCAGACTTCAGAATTTGGAAAGGGAGGGTAAAGGCTGCATCTCTTCCTAAATCAAATAGGAATAATCAGGTCATAATTCAAAAATGTAGTCTTTTAAAATGAAAGAATACAAGGCCCACTTGAACTTACCTCCCAAGTAGCACACAGATTTGTCTGGTGAAATATCCAATTGCCATTCTCATCTTTAGGAATAATTTCATCTCCAGGCTGAGAAAGTAAGACAAAAACAAATGTAATTCTTTTTATTTATATCTGGGAATTGAAATGATGGAATTTGTCTTTAGGCCAATATACCCTAGCTCTGGAAAAGCAATTCAAGTTTAATTATTTATATCCTATATAATAAAAGCCTAACATGCAAATTGTCCCCTTGACCGGGAGTTTGTCCACTCGTTATGACGTGCGCTGACAACCAGGGGGTGGCACAGAAATGGTGGGTGTTGGTGACACAGTGGTAGCAGCTGGCGGCAGTGGAGACGCTACCAGCCCCGATGGGACCTGACCAGAGTGGGACCTCGGTGGGATGGTGGAGGAGGTGAGTGGATGATGCCAGCAGCAGTGGCAGGGGGCGGGGCTGCGGCCTGACTCCCAGGCACTGAGGAGCTGGGTGAGGGGAGGGGGGCGGCTATGACTGATTGCTCCTCAGACAGTGACCAGTAGCAGCGGCAGGGGGTGGGGCCACTGCCAGGCTCTCAGGCTCTGAGGGAGCAGGGCAGGGGGCCTGTTCACAATCAATTGCTTTGCAGTCGGGATGGTAGAGCAGGTGATGGGGCAGCACCAGGACAAAGCGGGTGCCAGGTGGGGCTATGGGAGCTGCAAGGATGCGGGTGCGAACTGGGGCTGTGAGGCTGGGGGCACGAGCTGGGGCCCGATCCCCACAGGCCACACAGAGGGACCCCGCCCGTGCACAAGTTTGGTCACTGGGCCTCTAGTGTTTATATAATTATATAAGAAATTATATTTATATATATTTATTACTTTTATGGGACTGTCCAAAAATTCTTTCATTTTGGCAAAATATGTGACACATTAATCTCATTATCCTATACTGGCATTCATTTTTCCTTTATTTATCAACAGATTATTGTTCTTAAGCCATGAGTTTTCTCCTAATTACAGAATTACTCATCAGAAACAGTAGAGCCCTAACCGGTTTTGCTCAGTGAATAGAGGGTCAGCCTGCGGACTCAAGGGTCCCAGGTTTGATTCCAGTCAAGGGAATGTACCTTGGTTGTGGGCACATACCCACTGGGGAGTGTGCAGGAGGCAGCTGATTGATGTTTCTCTCTCATTGATGTTTCTAGCTCTCTATCTCTCTCCTATCCTCTCTGTAAAAAATCAATAAAATATATTACAAAAAATAGTAGAGGATGAGACTCAGTGTTTTGACAGTCTAGCCTTATCAAAGTTGAGGAGAGCACGGCATGTTACTTCTCAGTTCTGGCGGACTTGCTCACTGGTTTTTTTCCTTTCATTTTGGGCCCTCCAGGAGTTCAGCATTTCTTTTTCCTACTTCACACATTAGCTAGTGTCAACTCCCCTTTTCTGGTTTTTGGGTGATCCTTTCCCAACTAAGGCTAACTGGTGTGGAACGTTATCTTTCAGATTTCTCTTTTTTGGCTGTATCTAAACATGGGACTCATTTATTATGGGCTTCAAAATGGAATAGAGAGAAATGAAAGATGATTCCTAGGCTCTTGGGGTGGATGTTGGTAATCATTTCCTGAGTTTGGGTTAGCAATCAAGAGTTTTTTATGAATATTTTGAGTTTGAAATGACCAAACGTTCAAGTGGCTATTTGAGAAGGCAGGTAAACAGAGAAGTCTCAGAAAGATGCTTAGATAGAGGCCATGGCTGTAGACAAAAGTCGGTAGCCCTTACATATAAAATAATAATCCTTGCAACTATATGAAGTCATTTATAGACACAGTGTGGCTCAGTAAGACAAGAATACTGAGAATAGAAGTACTATTCTAGGCATAACAACATTTGGAGGTTGGTAGACAAGCTGCCAAAGAATCAAGAGAGGGTGGTATTATAGAAGTCACAAGAAGAAAAAGTGTACAGGAGATAATGGTCAACTGTGTTGAAAGATATCCTATATAATAAAATCCTAATAGGCAAATCAACAGAACAGCTGAAGGACTGGTTGCTATGATGTGTACCTACCAGCAGGGGGTAGAAGCTCAATGCAGGAGCTGCCCCCTGTGGTCAGTGCGCTCCCACAGGGGATGCACCACTCAGCCAGAAGTCGGGCTCATGGCTGGTGAGCACAGCAGTGGTGGTGGCCAGTTGTCGGACATCCCCCAAGGTGTCCTGGACTGGGAGAGGGCGCAGGCCCCGCTGAAGGACCCCTTAAGTGCATGAATTTTGTGCAGTGGGCCTCTAGTCAAATAATATGAGGATACGTACAGTGTCTATTTGGTATGGTTGGCAGCATTGAAGTCTTTTTAGGATAATAGGAATTTTTATTGAAAATCAAGCAATTGGACAAAATTCATTATATTATATTTTTTTCTTCTGCATCTCACCTGACAAAACTTTCCCCTCGTGGTAACACTTTCTTTAGCAAACACAATTTTGACTCAGTTTCCTCCTGTCTCGCTTATTCCTAAATGCCGCATAATCATTCATGTTAATTACTCTTTCTGTCTCTGCTTCCCAAGCTCTTTGTACTTCTCAACACTATGGCCCACATTTCCACTCCAGTCTCTCTCCTTATTTCTTGCCTTTTGCATTTCCCATTTTACTTCTGCTCAGAATGGTTTTATGCCTCTATCATACACTGTGTTAAATATTTTTTACTTACCCTGATTTTTATTAAGTCCTTGTCTTTTCTGAACCCATGTTAGCTATTTCCATGATGTTCCTCTTAAGCGTCCATTGTGCCTACCTTACTCATCCTTCATCCGAATCATTCCATGGTCTTTCTCCCTCTACTCCTGCTCCTACTGTAAGACAGTGTTAGAAGAATACTTCAACCCTCTAAAAATCCATGCTATTGATTCTCATTCCTGTTCGTCAGTAACTTCATTTATCTTTTTAAAATGTCATTCCTCATTTAAAAGCATAAGGCATTAGGGGCTGTACAGTGTAGAAGCACAAATATGGGATTGGCATCAGGGGATCCAGGATCTGGTCTCAGTCTGATGGATTTTAAACCTGAGTTAGCTATTTCATTGCCTCGGGCCTCAACCTTTTCTTTTGTAAACTGAAGATATTCTGTATATTGGAATATATATTTCCACCTGAAGATTTTATAACATTTTATTAGATATGAAATGTCAGGCACTGTGTCTGTAATTTCACATATATAACACTAATGACTCCTCACAATACTTGGCAAATGAGTTGGTATCGTCTCCAATTTACCAATCATGAAATTGAAGGAAAGTTCAGGAATATCAAAGACAATATGCTAATACTCAATAAAGCTGAAAGTCAGTCCCTCTTCTGTGTGACTCCAAAGTTCATGCTCTTTCCACTGGACCATGTTTAGGTGATATGTAAAAGGATCAGGTAATAACTTGACCAAGTCATCTGGCTCACATGTGACAGAGCTGGGATTCAAACAAGGTGCCCTGATTCTGTAGCCCATGCTTCATACCACCATGCTTGCTAGGTGACCTCTGATTAATGAGTGCAGTGGAAATCACTTTTTTTGCTTTCTACTATCCTTAACCTTCTTTTAGAGAGGAGCTCATTGCACATTGTGTGGGCTGACCCAGCTCCAATTCTTGGCCACAGATGTCAGACACCAATGCCCTTACACAAAGATTAGTCAGCAAAATTTATGTGACCCAAGCAAGGCTGATCTTTGTTTCTTTAGGAGGTTTAATGTGTAGTTTCTCTTCCTCTAAATTCTTAAGTTGTATTGATAAGGAAGGATTGGCATGTCAATGGGCATTTGCCATCATATAGAAAGAGATTTTTGAGAAAGGGCCAGAGTGTAGATACATAGTTTCAACTTCTGGATCCAGTCCTTTGGAATTAGATATGTCTTGTAATTTTTAGTTCCCTTTTTTGCTAATGCCAATTTGAGTTGGGTTTCTGCCATTTATAACAAGAGTTCTGACCAAAACAAAGGTGTTGGGTATAGCAAGTAATGAACAAAGAGTGTGGAATTTGCCAGGTCAGTATGGGATTGTGGATAGTGAGGATTCTCCAGCTGAGAATTGGATATTCTTGCTATGCAATAGCATGGCATCTTGTTAAATTGTTGCCTTGTTGTGTCTTGAGACTCTGACAATGGCATACTAAGATTGGAGCTTTAGGGCACTTAGTAGGAAAACATTGGGTGTTAGAGTTTGTTGGCCATTTTTGCAGTCTTCAGTCAGGTCCTGAAGAAATATAAATGTGTTTATTGCTACTTGGCTTGTAAGATGAGTGGTAAGATCATATTTTGCTAAAACAGGTACTTTCTGCTTCTAGATGCCTCCCCAAATGGCAGAAGTTCAGCTCTGAGTCTTATAGAGTTAGAAAAGTCTGTGTCAGCCAAGACAGGAAGGTAAGAATCCTAGAAGGAAATAAAATTGGACTTTGGGAGAATCCTTGTCCATTTCTCTCTGAAGACAAGATCTCAGGCCAATGATGCCATGTCCAACAAAGGAGCACCATCCAATGAGATGGAGACTGGGGGCAAAGAATGCATGACCTGTGCCTCCCTGTTTTGTATTATTTCAAGTCAGAAGGGGCATTAAGCTAAGGACTTCCTAGATGGGGGGATAGGATATTTCTTTACTAAGATGCAGAAACCACAGGCTAAAGATTAGATACAAGAAGATTTCTAGTTTTAATTACTCTTTAATGCAGCTGACTGAATGTGAATTTACTGAAAGCCAAGCAAATTTTTAAGGGATATGGACTGTCCACGAAATCCCAAACTGGCCATTGAAAGCCTTTGCTTAACCAAGGCCATTGTGAAGCTTGTGAATTCGTATCAAGGATGTGCAAGAGGAATCTTTCCCAAAGTCTCTCTTGGATATTACCATAGAGAAGAGTCATCAAGGAAAGAGCTTCCAGAGAACAGAACAGGGGCAGCCAGGTTGCTCCTGTGAAGGAAATCTGGGCACCTCAATGACTAGTTTTATTTTCAGTCTCTCCTTTCTCGGAGACATTTGAAAGCAGTAGGGATGTGTTGTTGGTGGTTAAATTAACACAGAGTCCATAGATTGAGGAAGTTTAAGGAAGAAGTGCATTTGAACCAGAGGAATAGCTATCACCATGATCTTGTTGCTGACACCCCAAAAACCTGACCATTCTTTGGGTTATTTCCCTTTTTGGGGGTGGAAGGTGAGTAAGTTTTCAGTTGTATATATTATTTTGCGTTATGTCATACAGGGATATTTTCATAACTATATAAGTGGGAAGAAGGGTGTGTCTGGATGCTGGAAAATTAAAATATGGAGCACCATTTGGTGACTACGTGATGGATTAATGGAGAGAATTTAAACTATAATTGTAAAGACATGTAATAAAAAGTGCATTGGATTAGGAATCAAGAACAATGAGATCCAAGCCTGAGTCTGTTACACATAATCTTTCTGGGCATTTGTTAGGCTAGGTCAGTGCTGTCTACCTACAGTAACAAAATGACAACATTCTGTGGTGCTAAGTAATGAATTAGCTTTGTTCACATGGCTGCTGGCTCGTGGCTGCCAAAGAGCAGAGGCCAAACCTTTAGGTGTCTGAACTCACCTTAAGAGCCATGGGCGTTGCCATGATGTAAAGATCAGCATAATCTAGATGGAGTTCCTGGAGTGTCTTCTGCACGCGTGGGAGGACTCTCTTTGGGTCAAAATCTGTACCCCACAGCTGAACGAATAAAAAGGGGATAATTAATGACATCCACTCTCTTTAAAAGAAAAGGGTGCAGCTTTTTATTCTTTACAATGCATTCATTCATTTTACTGCATAAAAATGTTTATGCTGAAGTTTCATCTGAGTATAGGATAAGCTGATATAACTCTTGACACCCATAGTATAACTTTATCAGAAAATAATATCAGAACTGCCTTAGCTGGTTTGGCTCAGTGGATAGAGTGTCAGCCTGAGGACTGAAAGATCCCGGGTTTGATTCCAGTCAAGGGCACATGCCCGGGTTGCAGGCTCGATCTCCAATGAGGGGCGTGCAGGAGGCAGCTGATCAATGATTCTCTCTCATCATTGATGTTTTATCTCTCCCTCTTCCATCATCTCTGATATTAATAAAAAAATATTTTAAAAATGAATATAATACCAGAATATGTATCCATATGTTCATTGCAGCTTTATTTACAATAGCCAAGATATGGGAGTAACCCAAGTGCCCATCAGTAGGTGAGTGGATAAGGAAGTAGTGCATCTATGCAATGGAATATGACTGAGCCATTAAAAAGAATGAAATATTGCCGTCTGCAACAGCTTTGGTGGACCTATAGGATACTGTGCTGAGTGACATAAGACAAAATGAGAAAGGCAAATGTCATATGATTTCACTTATACGTGTAATCTAGAAAACAAAATAAATCAACAGGCAGCAACAGATAAAGACTCACAGATGCAGACCATATGAATGGTTGCCAGATGGGAGGAGAGTTGGGGGGATGTGTGAAAAACATGAAGGGATTAAGAAGTACAAATTGGATTTGTAGTAACAGGATAGTCATGGGGATGTAAAGCATAGCATAGGGAATCTATATGAATAAAAGCCTATGTGGTTGTCACACCCTCACGCTGTCACACTGTAACAATCCATCACCAGGAGACTGCATGTGCAGCAGATGCGGGTGGATTGACGCTGTGTGCGCGGCACAGAGGCAGGTCCCGTGGCTCCATGCGGCGATGCCAGGGGCAGGACCCCTGGCTCTGGCCTACCTCTTTGGGGCAATCCATTGAGGAGCTCTGGATGGGTGGGCGGGGCCTACCTCTTTGGAGAAATTTATCTTGGGACTACCACACTGTGTGCGGGCACAGGTCAGGTTGGGGACCACCCCTCCCGAGTGCACGAATTTCATGCACCGGGCCTCTAGTATAGTCAATAATACTGTAATAACTATGTATGTTCTCAGATGCATACTAGATTTATCAGGGTGAGCACTTCGTAAGTTATATAAGTGTCTAATCACTGGGTTGTACACCAGAAGCTAATATAATATTGTACATTAGCTGTAATTGAAAGATAAAAAATTATTTTTAAAATAAGAATAATGGACCTAAAGATTCAGAGACTTTAAGATTCACCTGAACCACAGAGGACCCAATTTGGAGACAAGCCTTCCTCTGTGCAGTGCTAATTTCCTAATTGACTCTCAGTACTTAAACTTTTCCTCACTGTGTAACTAGGGAGCATGTACCTGAATAGTTGTGCTGACCTGGCCCCTTTATTTTCATGTCACTCTGATAAAGGATGTGCTTCATTTGAGCAAGAAATATGATTGTGTGGACATCTTCACTGGATCCTTCACATTGTCACGGGCAATGCAGAAGCTGGTGAAGTTTTAAATTATTGCATAGATTTAGATTTCCTCCTACTGGTCTTTTGTTCTCATTTGGTTGTACTCAGACTCCAGGGAAATTTTGTCAATTCCTACTAAGAAGTTACTGGATGTCTATTTGAAACGATAATATCACCAAAATGGCAGGGTATGAGACTTATCCCACAACAAGGCCAACAATTAGACAGCTAACCCTGAGTGAAAATGGGGAGATGTTGGTCAAAGGGTATAAACTTCTAGTTATGAGATGAGTAAGTTCTGGGGAACTAATGTACAGCATGGTATTTGAGGTTAATAATAATGTATTGCATACTTTAAAGTTGCTAAGAGAATAGGTCTTAAATGTTTTCTCACCATAAAAATAGGAATGGTAATGATGTGAAGAGATGGAGGTGTTAGCTAACATTATGGTGGTAATCATTTTGCAATCCATAAGTGTTTCAAATGAACATGTTATACACAAATTCACATAATGTTATATGTCAATTATATCTGAACAGGAGGCCCAGAGCACAAAATTCGCGCACGAGTAGGATCCTTAGTCCTCGCCAATGATCAGGGTCGATCAGGACCTTCTGGCTGCCAGCCAGAGCCTTCCTTCCCCTGGCTGCCAGCTGCTGGCCAGGGCCTCCCTTCTCCAGCTGCCGGCTGCTGGCCAGGTCCCTCCTTCATTTTGCACAACGCCCTGGTGGTCAGCGAATCTCATAGTGAGCAATTGAACTCCCAGTCTCCCGGTTGAACTCCTGACGTGACAATTTCCACATTAGGTTTTTATATATATACTTGAGGCCTGGTGCACAAAAATTTGAGATTTATGTGCTGGGTCCTTCAGCCCAGCCTGCGCCCATTCACGGTCCAGGACCCCTTGGGGGATGTCCACCTGTCGAATTAGGCCCACTCCCTAGGTGATCAGGCCTAAGCTTGCAGTCAGACATCCTTCTAGCAGCTAGGGAGCCCTTGGGGATGTCCAACTAAAGGCTTAGGCCCCCAAGGGATCAGGTCTAAACCATTATTAGGACATTCTTAGTGCTGCCACGGAGGTTGGAGAGGCTCCTGGCACCACCACTGTGCTGGCCAGCCATGAGCCAGCTTCTGGCTGAGTGGCACTCCCCATATGGAACTGCACTGACCACCAGGGGGCAGCTCCTGCATTGAGCATCTGCCCCCTGGTGGCCAGTGTGCATCATAGCAAGCGGTCATTCTGCCGTTCAGTCAATGTGCATATTAGCCTTTTATTATTATTATACTAGAGGCCCAGTGCATGGATTCATGCACTGGTGGGGTCCTTCAGCCTGGCCTGCAGGGATCAGTGGACCTCCGCACTGCTGCAGCCCGGCCTTCCCTGGCAGTTCATTGGACCCAGCTTACTGTCCGCATCGATCCTGCACAGCACGAAGTAGTATGAAAAATGACAGGCGGCTGGGGAGGAGCCTAAATCCAGGCTGGGCTCCACACCACTCCCGTTCATTCTGGCCCCACTGCGCCTGCTGCTGCCATGGCTCAGGCATGCAGGGGGGACTGTCTGTGGGAGATGCTCACACAGCCATGCTTGCCAGCTATCAGCCCAGTGTCTGGCACCCGTCTGTCAGCTGAGTGGCACTCCAACTGTGGGAGCACACTGACCACCAGGGGGAAGCTCCTGCATTGAGTATCTGCCCCCTGCTGGTCAGTGCACGTCATAGCTACCAGCCAGTCATTTGGTCGTCCAGTTGTCAGGTCACTTAGGCTTTTATATATATAGATAGGATGTCCCTATTTCCCCCCTTTTGCCCCCTCTACCCAGCTCTTGCCCCCCACTTCTCTCTGGCCATCACCATACTGTTGTCTGTGTCCATGGGTTGTGCATGTATTTTCTTTGGCTAATCCCTTCTTTAAATTCACTTCTTTAAATTTGTATTTTCAGATAAGTGCTTATAACTGCACTATTATATATTTTCTACTATATCATTTAGAATTAAGATATCTTTTAATTGAACCCTTGTAAATTTTAGCACAATTTAATAAATTATGCTAGAAGCAATTAGGAGATTTTTCATGTAATGCAGATACATTTCAATTTATATTTTATTAATTTTTAAATTTTTTAATTTGAAATAATCTCATACATCTAAAAAAACTATAAAATATTACAGCATATTATATGTACCCTTCACCCAATTTTTTAGGTGTTAATAATTTAAACATAACCTATATACAACTAACAGAATTTGGAATATGTTTTTCTTATAATCTCTTTAATGTTACTTAATCCATTACTTTGTTTTTGTTAATCTTCACCCAAGGGTATTATTCCATTGATTTTTAGAGAGAGTGAAGGGAAAGGGAGAGACACATTGATTGTTTGCCTCCTGCACATGATTTGATAGGGACTGGGGATCAAGCCAGGAACTGAGGTACATGCCCTTGACTGGAATCGAACCTGGGACCCTTCAGTCCACGGGCTAATGCTCTATCCACTGAGAAAAACAGGCTGCAGCTTAATTCATTTACTTTTAATCTATATGTGTCTTTATATTTAAAGTGGGTTTTGTTTTTGATTCACCCTCATAATCTGTCCTTTAATTGGTGCATTTATGCCACTGACTTTCAGAGTGCTTACTGATAGAGTTACTACCATATCAGGCGGCTTCTGGGTCTTCTGGGTCCCACCCTGCCTTGCCTTTTCTTCTTTTTTTCTAAGACATTTCAATTTATTTAAAAGAAGCCAATATACAGGATATAAAGGGTATGATATTTACAACAGTACAGTAAAGAGGTTGGTTTCCTGGTAGGATCAGTAGTCTTTCAGTGAGTATTAACCCCCTTTCCCCTTGATGCTCGACCCAGCTGGCAGACAAACAGCAACAGTGGGGTGGGATGGGACTGCAGGATAGAAAGTCTCCCTGAAGGGATTAAAAATCACGTAGATGCTAAAATGTCCACAAGGGGTCTTGGGGTGAGGCGTGCCTCTGCCTCATTCCTTTGAGGGCTTGGCAGCAGGAATGCTGAAGGATTTGCCCCAAACTAACACAGGACCCACCTTGAGCCTGTAAATCTTTCACCCATGGAATATTCCCTTCCTGAGAGAATCAGCCCTAATCCCTCAGCCAGGGCCTGGAGGAGCAGCCCAGGCCGTGAGCACAGCCAGGACTGTGGACATTTCATGGCATTTCCACTCCCACTCCAGCTGCCTAACAACTCTGCACTGCTCCCCTCGCCCACCTCCCCCGTCACTCCATCAGGATACTGTGCACAGGAGGGGACACTGGTTTTCCCATGCACATTGGGAACAGGCTGTTTCTGTTTTCTGGAGTAAAAAGGTTCCTGTGAGTCGGGTAAGGTCTCTGCTTGGCAAGAAGT